AATGGGCCATTTGTCCCATCTCTAATAGCAGCAGCAGCAGCTAGCTGTAGCACTTCCAGTGCAGCTCAGGCCACAGTCAGTCTCTGTCTCGACGATTTTTAGTTGACTTTTTTAAAGGTCTACATCCCATTTTTGGTGATTATTCTGATTTTCAGTATTTACTTTTTTCTTCAGTCTAACTCCTCCTCCTCAGTGAGGCCACACCCACTCACCGGTCCCTTCAGCTGTCTCCCATCTCCTCGTTAGGCCCAGTTCATTTATCACTTTACCTTCACATCAGTGGAGTGTTGGTTTTTGTGCCGCAACCAGTTTTTTCCATATCTCCTCATGCTTTGTCAATTTAGCTGTCACAACAGCTATATGTATTGTTAAATAAAATGTAATTTTATTTTTTTGTTCTTGAAYTGTGCATCAGTCTTCTCAGTCTGCATTTTTGGGTCAAACATCTCTGTGGAACATTGACAGGGGCTGAAAACTTATGTCTGCTGGAATAATTGTGAAATGCAAAATTGAAAGTGGCGTTGTTTTGTGTTTTTTATGTGATAACCACCTGACGATGTCTCGTCTGAGTGGACCCACAACCAAAGTGGATAAAATCTCTAATCATTCAAAATTTCTTGCAAACACTGTATTATAAACCTTTACATGTCATCTTTATTACATGCTTAGTTTGGCAGAAATTTAACATTCAAGCTGATCATGCTACAGCTCCCTGCTGCTGCTGGTACTTAATATAAGCATGCACTGACACACTGACAGCAGTGTGAAGGTTTATGAAACAAAATTCTCAAGAACCTCTCAAAATTGAGGTCGTTTGAAGAYGACAATAATCCATTTTGTTCTTAACCTCGCTCCAACGAGCCTTTAGCTCATCCATGTGCTCAGAATTAAACTATTTCTTCAAAGGGAGATTGTTTGAAGAGCTATCTGCAACAGGTAAGATATCTATTGTTCACAACCTTTTATGGTCTCAAGATGGAAGGCAGATGCTTTTGCCCCTGTCTCAGTTTGTGTGTGTGCGTGTGTGTGTGTGTGTGGGGGGGGGTGGGGGGGCAACAAAAGACGGGTGGAAGATTTATAATTGAATAACTCCCCAAAAAGCAGGGCAGCGGGGGGATTGGACCTGCCAGGAACAGCAAACGCCAAGAAGTGAGTGAGGCCTGTGGAGGAGGAGAGAGAAGGTGTGAGTTTTACGAACAATTACTGAAAAACCCACTGCAGCTCAGAGGGAGGTCCTGTGGAGWGGCTGTGAACAGTCAGTCTCTTACCTGTTCTGGATTGAACAACTTTCATTTTGGAGACATGGGGTTTAATATGGGTTAATGGCTCATCTGAGTCATTGAGCCGGAAAAGGGCAGAGTGCCTTCTCCGGGTCAGGGGGGTCGCCCTGTCTCAAGTGGAGGAGTTTAAGTATCTGGGGATCTTGTTCACGAANGTGTGTGTGTGTGTGTGTGTGTGTGTGTGTGTTAGCAAAATATCTCACAATCAGCTGGACAAATTTTGATGAAAATTTGTTGGACGCGCACACGGATTAACTTTTGGAGTTCGCAGTTCAAGATCAACATTTGACTAAAATCATCACAAAATTATTATAATTAACAGAAATTAACACAGATTAGATAGCTAAAATAATCTCCAACACATATTGTGAGGTTGCACAGATAGGACAAGGTTTTTGTACAAACATTGTACGTTATGTTATATATTATATTTAGAGAGAACACTGTCTATCTGTTCACAAATGACCTCATGAATCACTGGAGGAGGTTCAACTAAAGATCCAGGAACTCATCGTCTCATTGATTTTACATCTGATTCAGTTTTGGAGCTRATTCARTTCAAGATGGCCACCACAGCTTTTCAACCACAGAAAACACAGTTTTACAGATACTGAGCTAATGTTGATCATGGTAGCTGAGAGTCATTTATAACATGATCTAAGTTTGATATCACAGACTGTATAAAGTGTTTTTTTATTTTACCAAAATAGAGCAACTCTGTCTTTTTTATGATCTAGTTTTTAACATCTGTACCTCAAATCTGAAATACATTTGCACTAATAAGTGCAAGTTCTCTCAGCACTGAAGCATAACAAACTACRAGACAAAGTGTTGTTCTGGTCCACTGGAGTGAGACGTGAAATAATGCTCCCTGACATCAGGGTTTGATCCACGAGCTGCTTAGTTTGGACGCTTCAAACTTCTTGTTGTTAAAAAAGAAGAAGAAGAAGAAGAAATGCATGAGAGGAATGATTTGAGCTGAAATGTGTTTCAAACATCACAGTGCCTTTTGTTTTTCTGCCCTGCTTGAACTTCCAGCGGTTGTCCCAGAATGCACCGGTCTCCTAACGGGAGGGGGCGGGGCCGCTCCACCGAGGAGTTTATCTYGCCTGTTTGGTTTGGCGTTTGGAAGTGGAGGAATGGTGCAGCAGCACCGTCAGGCATGAATGGACTTCTGACTTAACCGAACCCGCTCCACATCACAGACCCGAGTCCCGCCGCTCACGTGGAACTGAGCAGAAGCGCCGCGTGTGTTGCAACCAGGGAGACGCGCGCGGTCTCATAAACGTGCGCTCATCCCATGAATCATCTGATTCAGACAATCTGAGGGGGAAACTTTAGGCTCTTTTTGTTGCCACTTCTGTCTGAAGATAAGAGGAAAAAAAATACAAGGAAAATATGCTGATGATTATTTAAAAAGAGACGTTTTACTGAAATAAAACCTTTAAGTCTTAATGACGCAAGAAGGGAAGAAGGAAAAGCTCAGCTGGCAGAATTGACCTTTGAAATGGAAAACTGATGTGCACACGCACACGCACACGCGCACACACTGTCTAACTTGCTTATTTTATCAGGTGCACTGGTTCCATCTCCCCTCCCGGCTGCCAATCAGCCTCTACAACATCATTTATTTGTCTGTGATTTACTGTTTTTTTTTACACTCTTGGCTGCTCACCAGCAGGAAAAAGCTCCAGAAGATTAAAAAAAAAAAGAGATTGATTTTGACTTCTTGTTCACATTTCTGCTGTGGTACCCAACACTGCTGTTTATGTGCACTAATCATTGTGAAGTTTGGAAAAGCTGCAACGTGACTTCATCCTTCCTGTGAGGTGAACCAAACATTTCAGTTTATTTCCCCTTTTTTTAGGAGTCTTTTTGCAGCCTGGATTAAATTAATGAGATTTAGAGAGGAAGATAAATTAGACAAATTCAGAGGAGTTCAGAGATCAGAAATGCAAACACAAGGAGAAAAATTACACCTCTTTTTTTTTTGGTAAATTCAGAAATAAGCAAATTTGCTGCATTTGCTGGGTGTTGAGAAACAAGACGGACTGAATTAGGATTTAAATTTTTTTTGCAGCCCTTAAAATCTGCTGATGGACCAAAAGAWGCTGGGACACTGAACCACGGTGTTCCGTCTGATCCATTAAAGTTGTGGGTCTGGACCCCACACTGTGGGTCTGCRAATACAAAGTCAGGGTCCTCAGATTAACTCTATAAAAATAATTCAATTTAAAAAAATGAATTCTTATGAGACATTTTCTTATAAATATTACAACAAACAAACAAAGTTACTGAAAACCTCATTAAAATCCAAGAAATCGAACAGCTTTTGTCCTTGTTTATTAGGATGATCAGTAAAATTCACCACATGCGTCCAGTTTTACTTTGTGAGTAAAAAGAGGGAAAAAAAGGGAGAGTTAAAAATCAATTTCTTCAAAAAAAGCTGAATCCTGCAATCAAACAGCGTGGTGTTAAATTAAATCAGATGAAATGGAAAAGAAGTGATTTATTCTTTGTTTGAGGGTCAGATTAGGATTTAAATCAGCTTTAATTTCAGTCTCAAACTGGAAAAATCACTTTGAAAACGTGGTGACAACTTTTTAGATATTCTTTAACTGTCATTTAATAAATTTACTTTAAAATGTTAACACGTTTCTGATTAACTCTGAGATTTTAAAAAATGATCAGGTTTTCTTTCGTGACGAACTCATCTCCTGCTTTAGGATTTCAACACATTTTCTCAGTGTGGGAATTTAAATAAAGGGTGGATGAACATGTTGAAAAGTTCGGATTTTCTCGCGGGAAACGACACGTGCGGCTCTGCAAATTAAAGTAATTAGAGGCTTGTTTTTTCTTTTAAATGCTGACATCGATCAAACCGACATGTGATGTACATTTAGAGCTTTAAGTGTTTTTTTTATTAAATGATTTGTCTTCTTTGATTTGGATCTGATGTTTGCGTCAAACCTTTTGACAAAAACTTCTCCAAACTCGTTTGTTTGTAGTTTTTTTTCTCGCGAAACTGAACAAAAAAATCATTTTTATGCTCCTGTGTCTCTGCTGYTTTTCTCACCCAGTGTGTCAAAGGTTTGATAAATAATTATTTCTGCTTTAGAGTCGGATTTTTTATTTTATTTTAATGAGTGTGTATTTCTTTGAATAAATTCATTTACGCGAAAA